TTTTTTTTTTTTTTTTATTAATTTTGTTTACAAGTATCGTGACATTTTGCAGTATAATAACATATAAAGAATATAAAAATAAAACTTACACAAATGTTAAGATGAAAAATAAATATCACTCACGTCGAGTTTCATTTAATTCGTATATCAAGGGGTTAAAGAAGCGACGTCCAAGTTTCTTTCCTCCTCTAGAGGAAATATTAACAAGTAACTGTAACGTATCGTGGATATTTTCCATGTTAAAAATCGGTGATATCTCGTAACTTTCCACTCGTGGCACTTTGACGCTTAGGACACATCCGTTTTCAGGATCCTCCGCGGATGACGCGATACGAGAGCGAGCAGGATCAGTTCCCGCACGGCCCACGGAATCTCGAGGGGAACAGCGGCGCGATACCGGTGACACCTCTCTCGTCTCCGAATGGCAGACGAAAGAGATCGGTCGTGGTGTCCGACAGGAAAATCCGTAGCGCCGACGTCGGCGTGAGCGGTTTGTACGAGGTGATCTCCGAGGCTGATCTAGCCTTCAGCCCGGATACTCACGCGGAGGCGGTAACGGTGTTTCAAGGTAGAATACGCGAGGAAGTAGTTTATGGTATCTGCCTGCCTATGCCCGGTTTCAGCGCGCTGTTCATCGTCGTGGCGCTTTCGGCCGTCATCTCGGCGCTTGTCGCCGGCGCGATGCTGCACCGGCTGCAAGCGCAACGCGAGGCGGTCGACAACAGAAAGAACAATAAACCGGTGCATTCGACGAACGGCTGGCTACCTTACGGCTTGCTACGCGTACGCTGCACGACGCGGCCGGCCACTCATCTCGAGCAGATCCAGCAAAAACAAACGAATCCAGCCGCCACCAGCCCCTCGGTCGAGAGAGGCTAACGATTGACGTGAGTTTTCGTGTCGCTGGGTTTCCGGGACGCTGGTCCCGTGTCTCGCTCCGCGAAAGACAATGTACAATAATACGCTGTACAAAGTATTTTAAGTGCATCGAATCACGCGCGACGGTTTCTTCTTACGAGCGACTCGAACGACGAGTCGATCGTGTCTCCTTCGACGGAGAGGATTCAACGAATGCGCTTTCGAATCAGGAGCCACCCTCCTTCTGTTCAGGTGAAATCCCTCTTTTTTTTTTTTTTTTTTTTCTTTTTTCGTCGACTTCGATGAGAATGATTTTCGTTCGTTTCCTTTTCTCTTTTTTTTCTTTTTTTTTTTTTTTTGTTGTTGTAAACGAAAGTAATCGCTGAAGGATTATATCGTCGAGCGTGGCGATTATTGGTATTGGGTAAGTAAAGAATATAATCAAGCAGGATAATTAATCAAATTCGCAAGAAGCATTTTCCCTCAAGAGGAGACAATGCGACAGCACTTTCGCTGTGAATATTGTAAAGATTTCGCATTGCGAATGATATTATTTTTTTGACAGTTTGTTTTCTTTGTTGGACGTTTCATTAACGCTGTAACAATCGATCGTTCTCATCAATATTTTCACCAAATTTTGTTAGAAATTTGTAAACTGTTGAAAATCATACGACGCCGTAATCGCGTCATCGGTTGTTACAGCGTCGATCAAGTGAAAAATAAGGAAGAAAGGCGACGTTGCTTTCGACATGTTTTTCCTTAGGTAATTCATAAATAAAAAAAAAATGTGCGTATTAGTGTATTCTGTGTAGAATACGAACTATTGCGATTTAAATGATTACTTTTCTGTAACATGCCCCGCGGCATTGCGGCGTCTGTTATCTATTTAATGATGAATTCACTAGAGGTGCTGACAACGATATTTGCCTAATCACGAATACGAATAGAGAGATCGAACAATGTTCGATGTAATAAAAATTCATAATAAAGTAGAACTTGTTATTGAATATATACAACTTTGTAAACTATATATAGGCTTTAGATTCTTGTTTAAAGTATTCCTCCTGGAGATTGATATTTATTATTGACAGATAATAATAAATATTGTACATAATGAAACGAAAATATTTCTCACGGTTAAATGCATACACTACGATTAACGATACACGCTGCATAAAGTTACTTTATTTTTTCAAAGAGAGATTGCATTTTACCTGTGTTTTTCACATAAAATAACACTTGAATTACATTTGTATAAAATGTAGAATTAAGATGCCTTATGTTCGTGTTTTGCAAATAGGGAATTCTACTAGTTAGACATATATTTTTCCTCTTCGTGATCCTTTTTCTTTTTTTTTTTTTACTTTTGTAAGTACCTTTTTATCAGAGTTTTCAACAGAATTTCGCGTCTCAACATAAAATTAATTGCAAATTAATCACATGCAACTATACTCAATTCGCGCGCAAGAGAACCGGCAGCGATAATGCTAACAAAAGGATCTAGAAACGACAGCACCTCTAGAATTAGCCCTGAAGAGGCTGAGAATAACAGCTAACAACTGAAAATACGAACGATACCGTGAATATTTTCAGGCAGATCGAAAGATGCTACTACTAAGCACAAATTTTCATTTCGTATTTTTCTTAATATTTATATCAATACGTTAGAGTAATATGAGAATTCGATATAGTTTGACGGATGCCTCGTTACGTTTAACCTTTCGTTGACATCTTTGACAGAGCATATGTATTAAAAGAATCGATTTAATTTTACGTCGATGAACAGA